TTTATCAATTATTTTTAACGAATATAAATTTTTTCCTAACGTTTTTATAAAAAATATACGACACACGTAAATTAATATTTATCGCATTGAAAATAGATACACATTTACCGTCTAGTTAATTAACAGCATGTTACGGTACAATGTTAATTTTCATTTATTGAAATTTCGAGTTATTTTATTAACATTATCTTATAATAAAGATAAATTACGTTATACTCGTTATAGATATATATGTTACAGATAAAACAAATAAGCTTATTTGTATTCATTCTTAATTACGTGAATGTAAAAAACTGTTTAATGAAGATGCATAACTGGGAGATTCTAGTTACCGAATCAAATGATCAGATTTCTAAAATTTACAACAAGTTTTGCTCTACTTCCTTCAAAGTGATGCATCGCTAATTATAATAATTTGTTAATTTGAATATTCTTTTGTCCCGTTGGCTTCTTTCAAATTCAACAAATTTTAAATTAACCTAATGAATTTAATAGAGCTTGCTTGTCTTGTACGAAGAGAAAACGCAAATATTTTTCAACCTCGCAAACCCTGTTATCGGCTCGAAGGGCTCGAAAATTTCAGTGTGTTAAATCTGACCATAGTCCATCGCTTCGTATCAACCCTAATTAATATTTCAAGAACATTGTGGTACTTAAACATCCCTGCACGTCGTTAACGCTTATTAATTTCCACAAGGTACATAATAACTTACAAGCTGTGTTCTTTAGGTTTAACACTAGTGTTGGGTTAAAGTTCATAAAATAGCCAAATGATTGGTTTAGATATTGTCTCTAGTTAAATTACATACTTTTCCTAAAATATTTTGTAACATTTACTCTTTAATAATTTGCAGTCTTTTATATCTCACTACATAATTTTTAATTTATAATTTCTATATATATGTGTAATTTTATATTCTGAAATATATGATCCAGATTTCAATAGAACGCAATACGTTAAGCTATAATAATTTTTCTAAAATCTGTTCTATGTTTCGTTTTCTTTATTCTTTAAATCAACTGTCAATAAGAACCAACAGTGCCATTTCTTAAATTACATCCACAAACTGAATTCATCTCCAAATGACAAATTTAACATTTTTCCATGTACATTCAAAATCCCGTTTAAAAATCTCATCGTTAGAAATAACCAAGTGTGAGTAAAACAAAATCAACAACGTAAGCAGACCTATAGTAAACAGCTGGGACTCGACGTATTATGCTGAAAAATATTCTCTTAACATCGGTGGATGGAACGGAGGCAGCGGTGGAACGGAAAAAGGAAAAAGCGGAGGCCGCGGCCGTTGCGGCAAACAATAATTAAAACGACGAACGATGTAGCCTGTTTGCTTGGCATTCGACTATTCCATTGCAGAAGAACCTTCAAATATTTATCGGACATCCCGTTACGCGTCGCGCGCAGTGGAATTTGGTCTCGTAATTTATGCAGGCCATTCACGCTCCTGCCTTTTACAATTCCAATAATCCTAGGATCCGTTCAAATATATTTTAAACATACTCCATTATCATCGAAATTCGCGTAATAAATGTTAATATTAAATTTGATAATTACGCAATTATCAATTTTGGTGATTTTCCCCAATTTTGAATGTTTCACACGAATATTTTTTACAAATGCTTTATATATTAATATATTCTGGTAACAGAATTCCGATTATATTACATCATATTACGAATACATTAGAAATATTCGTTTAGTTATTCTTAAAATTTTCTCAATTTTCAAAAATGAAACAGACTCGAAGATTTATTATATATATATAAACGTATATTTCCAAAAGAACATAAATTTGATATCGCATACTCTCGTGAGAAGCAATCATTAATTTATCAATGCAACCCTGTTGCAACATCGAACAAACTCAGCGCAAGTCTCTGAACTTCAAAACTCAATCGCTTCCTGCGAACTCCAGTTCCCATCTCCCATCTCCATCAACTGACTAATTCAATTAACATGACTCCCCTCTAAAATTCATCATTTTTCGTCTTCATTAGCCTTGGATGCTTCCCTATGGATCTAACGGAAGACGTCGGGAAATTCAAAGTCGCGGCCGTGTCGTGTAATCAGGTCACCGATCCGTTCGCCGCGTTTCAAAGCGATATGTCGTTTAACGTGGCAATTAGTCGAGTTTACATTTTTAATTGATCGCTTAACTTCTGCCAGGCGTTTGCAAAGGCAATCAACTGCACAAACAAGCGGCACCGAATGAAATGGCACGGGGCAAGTTCGCTGAGACGACGACGACGACATCGGCTTCGCTCCACTTTCGTTCCCGAAGGTGTTGCATCGAGGCGGCCGTGTAAACAGGGATTTTCGGATTCCAGAATTACTAGCAGGCTGTTCGTAAAATATTTAGAGTAGTCGCTCACCGCTCTGCCGTTTCGAAATCGGAAAAGCGACTTTGTTCCTCTTATCGTCCTACTTTTTGTTCCATTTCACAGAATGGATCGCGAGATTACCGTTGGCCTCGAAGGAGTTACGAGAAAGTACACTATCATTCGTAGTCATCGGTATACTTTACATTTCTAGAAACACCCACAGTATACGAATTTTATAAAAGCGTGCAAATTAATGATTTCTTTTTCTGTCAAGCGTTTGGAATTTCATGCAAGTGTCATTTCACTCGTACAATTTCACTGTAATGTGTACTTGCACAGAAAAGAAGCACCTAAGTAAAGAAGAGCGTAATATTTTTCTGGACAAAGGGTACGTAAGTAGAATAGAGTACAGTATTTATGTGAATAAGGTGTGCGTAATTAGAGTAAAATACAATATTCGTATAGATAAAATGTATATTACTAGAGTAGCGTATAGAATATTTGTATAGGGAGCAAATTAAATTGATTTTTGAAAGGCAAGATAGTGAATATTGTTGAAGTAATTACTTCAAGAAAAAATCTACATCTTTATTTTTGTATATCCGTGACCTGGAGACTGCTGTTACGAAGAGAATAGAATTTAGTAAAAAAATTCAAAATAAGGAGAGGTTACAAGGTTTAAAAACAAAAGAAGTGTAATAGATCTCTATTGTTATTTATTGTAGCCTTCACCTAAAGTTACACACCAAGATTATCTTTTTGGTAATGTCCTTTGCTATAAATATATGAACGTGGTTCCTATCATACCTTCTTCCTATTGTATTGTAACACTGTAAGAGTAAGGATCTGGATCAGCCTACACTATACCTGTACTTATATATATACTTATTTGAATATATTTTTCTATTATAAATTCATCCACTCGTTCCTCTACCAGTCAACCTCAACAAATTACATAGTAATATGTTAGAATTACTTTTAATAATACTCACTTAATACTTTTAATAATTACTTTTAATAATATTCACTATCTCTCCCTTCAAAAATCAATTTAAAATATGTTATTATACATAGTTCTAATGATCATCAGCAATGTGATGTTAAGAATGAAATCACCGAAGTTCAATTTATCCGAACATAATTGAAGCATACAAAACATAGTTTGTCAAATATAAGCAAGTGTTCGAATACTCTTGAACAATAGCGTATTTCGACTTAAGCATTGCGGTCGAGAGTTTTGATTCTGTTGGAAGGTTGATAGGCAATGGTGGGATTTTGGTGGACATTTGGGGAATGTTCTGTAGACGTTTGGTGTATGTGTCGGGCTGGAATTCTGCAGCTCTAAAGTTACGAAGCTTAGACTTTCGAGATTCTAGAGTATCCGAGAATAGAGCTTAAATCGTTGGAAATTTTCAGTGTGGTAACTTCAAAGTTCAAAAGTACTATCTTTAGAGACGTACTAACCATTTCTTCAGATTTATATACTTTCACTTAAGTTGACTATCTAAATTACCTCCTGCTATTGAAGATAAGAAAAGACCATTGAGAGAAATTTTCCGTAGTTTCAAGAAGTGAATTTGGTAACGATTAAAAAAGAATTTCTTTCTTCAACATCTTCTGAAAAGTTATTCGTAGACATTTTTTTTAAATCGATATTTGTTTTTAACCATTTGATATCACGAATGATATTCGATTTGATTTATCGAACGTTAGAATTGGACAAATTTAATTATTATTTAAGTGGAGTGTAAATATCGAAGATAAATTGCAAAGAGTTTTTAACGTTTGAATTTTATTTCAGTAGCTCTCGTGGTAAGAAAGTTGTAAAGTTTCGAGTTACGATGTGCTCGATCAAGCGCAACTTCAGCGGTTAGCGAAGTGTAAACGTGTCACTGAGTATATGACTCGTGGATAACTTATGATGTCAAACATTAAATATTTTTAGTGCCGCATATACGTAGAATGACTGACTTATTTTGCTATGACGTACTTATCAGTCCTTTATTAATCATTCTGCGATATATCGTTGCTGTAATAACATGAATAATAAATATTAATAATCTGCAATTTGTGTTGCATATCGCGTTCTTTGCCGCAATTTGGAAAAGTTCAAACATAAGCTCGCAATTCAAATTAACGTTGTGTGAGTAGGTCTAGTCGAACTTTCCTTTTTTATTTAAGCTTTCCAATCTTATACACGTTTATTCGCTATATATTGTAAATATAACTACACACGTCGACTTATACTTTATTTATTTTTTATATTTTTTTGTAAAGTAAGTAATATTTAGGACAGTCATATTTAGGAGTAGTTGTAACTTGAGTTCCAGAACTTGTAAAGCTAATTTCACTCTTTGGATGTCGAACAAAGCATTATCACGCAATGTGGTTAATGGTAATTGTGTGTGCATGATTGTGTGCATGAGAGAAGCAAGATTGTAACGATCAGCTCTGCAGCGTTTAATCGTAATAATCAATTTGTGAGAGAGCTTTCTATTAAAAAACTAAGGTTTTGATTTCATTGTAAAATTTAAAGGAAGTGTTTTCCTTTCTTTAAACTCATTTGGATCACGTATTCTCCGAGATATTAGCCATAGCTTTCTTAAATATCTCGCACAAATCTGGGAAAGCAGCTTTCGCTGTCGTGTCAGCAGTCTCCTTCGAATTCCACAGTAGGAGCGAATCCAGCATTAATTTTAACGTACAATCGTATAAGTTTTATCGTAGAATTCTAAATACGATTTTTCGATTTCACGAATATAGCAAGCGAACTACTCGTTGAGTATCACGTTGAGCGTCACGTTGAGTATCGTACTTCATTGAATTTTATTCATCTTCCTTTCGTTTGGGTATTCACAACGTGATTATTGAACAAAGGTAATGTGGTGTGTCACATAAAAGTTATCTTGTGTTAAGATATACCGTCCGATAGAATAAAATGTTGAGCCAAGCACTGTGAACAATTTACACTGACAAATCACGATAAAAGAGCAGCAAACGCATTGACAATATGTGTGGGTATCTTTCCGAAGCATCGTACGTGTCGGCCAACTTCTCCGCAGAATTTGCAAACGATGGAAGAGCAAGCCAGCGAAAAATCGAGCAGCGTAAAGTTCGCAAAGTGAATTTTTATTGACTGGATCGAAAGGAGGTAAGTTCGTGTTTTGGCTGTGTTCAAGGGAGAAACTGTCGCGGAGGGAAGTTTGCCTCGTGCGCGGTGCAGAGGTCTGAAATCGACATTCGATGCCGGAGAATCGTGGAATCGTGACGCCGAAGAATTAACGAGCCACTTGGAACGAGCCACGAATTATTTGTTCGTCCGCTAGCATGAGAATCGTCGAGTACTACGGCTGAACAAAAACCAAGAGATGAAAAAGGAAAGAGAGTGGAGAGTATCGACTATCGATGACGTTTTAGAAACCTTGCCGGTATTAATTAGAGGATGCTCGAATTATTACTTGGAGCTAATTTTTGTTCGCAACGAGCATGCTTTTAATGCTTGTAGATATCGGACGAGATATTCTGGATCGATTATTGGCGTTTCCCTGACACCATTATAGAAATTAGACGTCTGTTCGAAACTATGTGTTATTAAATAGTTTAAAGCAAGAAAATGTGTGGAAAATGGATTGAAAACATAGCGTAACACGTGCCTATGTAAGATATTTTTTCAATAAATCGTCATCGAAAAATTTATTCCATTTGTTTAAATATTTAAAAGAATGGGATCGAAAACAGTAGTTTTTAAACTGTGTTAAACTTCTATATTAAAAAAATAATTAATGCAGATGATTAAGTAATAAATAAATGCAAACAATGATAAGAACATGTTAGATTCATATTAAAAGTCTAGGATTAATGTGCAAAAATATTGTAATTCAATTATTGCTTTTAATCAGAGTTTGGAGCTTTCGTTAAACAATAATTCTCCATTTCGTTCTAAACGATGTCATTTGATCAACTGCGACTGCGGATTTTTGTGGTTAGTGTATCAACAGTGGCGCCAGATACAAACTGGGCAGCCAAATCTCTTTACGCAGTTACGTTTCGAGCAGGAAGCGATAAAAGAGTAAATGGAGGAAAGGGGAAGGGAAAGCTAAAATCTAACAGATCTTTGCATATTTTTCTTTTTTGTAGAAATACCGAACGCGACGCATGTGGCTGAGACTTGTAGGCATTGAGACTTGTTGACATTTGATGTTCTTAACATTTATAAATAGACCACGGGATATTTATGCAAATTCACATTTTCGATTGAATAATTGAAATAGTAGAACCTCGCTAAAAATTGTTTTACTCAACGAGCATCATATGAAGCACTACATTTAAGATATTTTGCATATTTTTTCATGTTACGTACATTCCGCACAATCTTACGCTTTCAAAATTTTCATAAATGCGCAAAAATCCGTACGCTGCCGATGATAAATGTCAACTATCCAAAGAAGCTAATATTCTATATGAATAAAAATGACTCGCTTATCCATAAAATACTGGAGAAACGTAAGAAAAGCCGGAAACGAGAGAATTCTGCGAATTTGATGAGGAATGGCCCGGAAAATCCGTGGTGTTTTAATCACGCGCGCGGCGTAACAAGGCAAAGACGGGATGCTCGAGTTTCAAGCGGATCCGTTTGCATCGTCAAAATAAAACAATCATTCGCCAAATGCTTTTTTACACTATAGAATAACGGCGGAACAAGGCGGAAAACGAGGCCAGGAACAGTCAACGACAGCTTTTATTATTCGCCAGCTGTAGTCGCTCAAGTTGCGCCCCCAAACCATCGGTGACTTTCATGACTGCATTATGCTGCGATGCAATATGTGCATCGAGAGTATGAGAACATCGTAACGGTGGCGTATCTTAATACGCGTTATAAAATGAACTTTCAAACACGATTTCCGTTGTCCTGGTGTTTTTTATCTAATCCAAATTCAAGATAGAGCGCTGTCACGCTATATCTGCTAACGCTGCAAAAAGCAACGCTCAGCGAAACGATAGAACTAGTTGAGACGACGATTAAACGTTACGAGGTCAATAGTAATTTTGTTTCTATTTTTGACAGTTTCCTGTAACGACCAGCCAATTTTTCGTTAGCGTTTTTCAAGCGTGGTTTTAAATTTATTTTTTTGTTTTCTCAATTTCTTATAATATTTCTTTCTTTCTGTCCTTATCCTCTATCGCTCAGAAGTATTTTATTTTGATGACAAAGTTTGATCAACTTGGTTTCCTCGTTCTTATGATTCATGAGAAATCGCTATTAATAAATATATTTTTCACAGTATCGTTCGCAATAGTTTCATGATAGATTGAAATGGAATGCAAACAGTTAATAAGAATAAGAAGCAAACAGTTTTAAACACATCTTACTTTCTATATTTTATTTAGATCGATCGCTTTCCCGCAACTGCATTCGATCTGGTTAGAGTCGATGGCGATTTCGTTATCTTCAAATAGTAATTTCTTTGTAAATTTAGGGAAACGGATTAATAGCTGACGTTCGGCGATCCGAAACTCACGTTGATGTTTCTTTTATTGTAGCAATCGTAGGCGTTCATTTTGCATTTCATTTTTACACCCGTCTCCTTTTTTGCTATTCTTTTTACAGTATAATTGTTTGTAACACGCAGTTATTATATCGAGAATTTGATATTTCGTTGAAATTGGATCTGGAACCGCTAAAGAAACATAAAGAATGAAATTCATTATATGAAAGATATCAAAGACTGCCCCTGCCAATTTTTTATTTCTTTTCGGCAAAGAAAAAAATAGTCTAGCATTTTTCATTTCTATTCGATAGATATTTGTTGTTTTTTCTTCTAACATTATAGCTGAGAAACAAATAATTGTTGTTTCGATATCTTCAATTAAATATTATATTTGTTACAAGAGATATTTTTGAAAAGCTATAAAATGAAAAATATTCATTGTATAATGAGTAACACGTATCGTTTCCTGTGAGATTTCCCTGTTAGAATTGTCGAGACACAATACAATTGGAGCTAAATACCTAATTGCAACTTGGCAAAGTTGTCTGACGAGATATGTACTTATCTACTTGTGCCTGAATATTCAAGTTAACACGAACTCTCCACAGTCATTACACATTTTCCCTCTTCCACCTGAATACAAACCTTCGCCCATTTCCAGATTGTCTTCTCCTGATAAATTTTGGCACGGATACACAGCAGTGCAAGTCTAATTTTTTCAGCAAGAAGGTTATTCTACGATTTCACTGTAATCCGGGGGAATTTTCTTGTCAAAACCCTTCGTTATGAATGTTCAAAGAAAAATTAAATGTTTCTAAGGCGACCATAATTTTGTACAATTTCTTTTAAAATTAATACTCTATACCTACCTTATTTTTATCGTACATTTTAATTGTAATTCGCTGTACATAATATGTATATATCGGAGATGAAAGGACACCGAAGCCTTCCCTTTAAAATTTTGGGAAAACCCCTTAACACTTTAACCTAGATTCTACCATAGCCGTAATTAAGCAATTTTTGTCATTTAATCCGATTGTATTTGTTCGAGATTTGTGATAATGAGCTTGGGCTCGAGGCGACAACTAGTCGCCGAACGTAGCCGCAGTCACGGGATGAACGTTTTTATCTAATAGAGGTATAGAGTAATTGTATAGCTCTCCTTAAAAAAAATAGTTGTAGCGGCACTCGACAGTAAACATCCAACGGTTTCTGTCCCATGGCTCGCCACACGCAGACCCTATTCTTCGGGTAAGATGATTACCAGATGTCGACGCATCTCTGCAGTACATGTTCAGCTAGCCTGAGGACACGTTACAAATCTTAAGATTTAGTTAACTAAAGTCCGTCAAACAGACAAACAGTCTTTGTCCCAACTACGGGAAGATAGAGGAAATCTATTTTTCTCACGAACAACGCTTCCCGCTAGCAACTTTCCCTCAAGGGCGGCTAGCATCCTTCTCTAACCACCAACATGGAAATTGACCAATTAACAGCAACGCCAATTTCCTTTACTTTCTGAACGAAGGCTATCCTCGACGAATCCGATGATCTCGTGTCTTTAGATATACCCCATCATAGTTTTCCTCTGCAGCATCGTGACGGAAAGTCATTCTCTCATTATGAGATCTCATTAGCGAGTTACATAGCATCTTTACGCTCGGTGAATATTTTACGTTTTAACAAAGAGCTAGTTTAGTAATACTTGTATCGTAGACAAGTAAATCTAGTCCAACTTAAACTTTGGAAGAAAGTACATTTGTTATCCCGCTGATCGCGGATTCGTTATCGAATTATTATATATCGTTATTATATATCATCATTAGTGTCTAATCACCGCGGTTACTTGTCAATTCTGTAATATCCACACTTGTACTAATAATCATATTTGTACTAGTAAATATCTTCTCTATTGCCTAACAACAATGTCTAATCCAAATAAAGATTCGTTACGTGCCCCTAACCCTAACCATAATGCGAACCCGACATATATATATATATATATATATATATATATATATATATATATATATATATATATATATATATATATATATATATATATATATATATATATATATATATATATATATATATATATATATATATATATATATATATATATATATATATATATATATATATATATATATATATATATATATATATATATATATATATATATATATATATATATATATATATATATATATATATATATATATATATATATATATATATATATATATATATATATATATATATATATATATATATATATATATATATATATATATATATATATATATATATATATATATATATATATATATATATATATATATATATATATATATATATATATATATATATATATATATATATATATATATATATATATATATATGCTAAGAGTTTTAGCGGTAAATCAGTTAGCAAAGAAAAGTAGAATTCTCAAGTAGTCGAGGAAATGGTTACAAGTTTTGTGAAATTTCTAACCTAGATAAAACAAAGTTCTTGCGAACCCTTCTCGTGTGTAAACATATTATACAAGTAGAGTAACCATTATTTAAATTGTTTCAAGAATACTTGCAGTGGCGTAAAGGAAGATCTTCTAAAAATATGTTGTTCCATAATTCACGGGCAGAGAATGTTTACGTATTTTTCAAGTCGTTAGTATCGATCGCCGTACTTCAAAGCTGACCCCAGTCAAGCTCCCAATACATCTTCCTTAAAATATATTATCTCACTGACGAATAAATTTTTGAAACCTGACTTGGCCGATTTATTCGATATTTATCGATTTGATTATGTCATCGAATATTAATTGACTCGAACGAGAAAAAGAAGAAATTTACACAAACGATTATTTACAAGCAAAGTTTTCCAAAAGTTAAATTAGTTTTGGAAAAACAACTGTTGCAAGTTACCTATATCATTCCATTTTTTAATAACTGAAATGATCGTCATTCGGACGGAAATTTTGACGCGGAATAGAAAAAAAACAAGCGTTTTAATATCGATGAGGAAGGAGATTTAAAAGTGTTTAGTTATATTTAAATAATTTCATACTTCCAATACTCTAATAATATAACATCTGGCTAACTTGCTGCATTATTCTGTTTAAAGAGGGAGAGACAGAGATAGGGGAAGGGAGATACCCACTATTTCCAAGGAACGTAGTTTGAGCGGAAACGGAAGCTCTAAAATACAGATGTAGAATTATGGAAATCGATAGGATATCCATAAAATATCATTAACCAGTACGGTTATTGGAAGCGTGAACACAACAGTAATTATAACCAGGAATCACGAGAATGTAATGGGAACAGACAATAACCGCGAGAGATTATTAATGCATTCTATTATACTTAACAAAGTCTGAATTGGGTTCCACTGAACGCATCTTGTCACAAACTTAAGTTCGATTGCGAATTCGTGCTGTTGAAATCAAATTTTAACACGTTGATTGCTATGTTTGCATAAAACCACCAAAAAGTCAGGTAATTTAACTAGTATCTAGTACCTATTCTATTTTACAGATCTTAAAATAGATATTCTTATTACCATCAAATGAAATTGAGAGAAGTGTGTGTTTTTTGATATATTCACTTCGATATCGTTCGATAAACGTATCGACGTCATTTTTTCCAACATACTTTTCAATAATCTAACGTGTGTTAAATATTGTATTAACAAGTATATCATACTTAATCATTAAAGAATACATTAAGCAGTTCCTTCTCACGAAATTAGAATATATATAGTTTGTCTGATTAATTAGTCCATACGAAACATTGCGCGTGGCCATTTAAACTCGTTCCACAAACAAGCAATCGTTCAAACAAGAATTCCTTTAATCAAGGAAAACTAGCGCAGACCCTGAAGTAAAACTTTCACGCGCGGTACGTTTAATTCTGCATTTTTTCATTTTAACTGTCCTTCCGACCAAGTAATCTTCGCCAAGTAATTCCGATGAAACGTTAACACGCGGCTCTTCAAGCTATCTTGTCATATCATGTCTCGCGAGTGCTACTCTGTAGTTTCTAGCTGGATGGATCGTGTATACGATTCGAAGTCGCGGATAAAAGACGAATCGAGCTAGTAGAGGGTTAAAGAAAGCGAAAAGGGAAAGATAAGGCGAACAGATTGTCTGACGAAACGAGGAGAAAAAGGCAAGGTACGTCTCTCGATTATGCATGCTTTCCTGACGCAAGAACTGGGCTAATGGTTAGTATTCTAGAGAATTATCGTTGCAGACTAATTGCGCCCATGCTGGCTGTTGCCCAACTGCTCTAGCTGCGGAATGTTTCTATTCAGTGTCTCTTTGTGTGTCAATGAGGAAACACTTATATCAAGAAGTGTGATGTACACTGGATGTTAAAAGCAAGCATATGTTTGAGAGTTTAACGTTCTGTCAGCTGTATGTAACTTTTCTAAGTATCGAATAAGCTTGAGCAAATTGAATTTGAAATAAAAATAAGGAAGATAATTTCAAATAATGAATCATCTCAAATAGGTATCTTGTTATTTTCATTTTAAAGATAACACGGGCAAAGTAATTTTATTTCTATTAAGAACGAACAAGACATCCTGTACGTTCTTTATTAGACTACTCTGTAATTTGAAATCATACGAATAAAATAGAACATCGCTAAACGTCCGCCGTACCATTCGATAGCTTGGCAAAGCTCGGTCATTCAATCACACGAATCACCGTAATTCACCGCAATCTAGAAATCTACTCAAGGACGGTTCATCAAAGGTTTCGAGTCGCTTCAAACGAAGCCGGAAGAGAGGATGACAAAAAGAATGAGCGAAACAAGCAGTCGTGTCGTGGACGAGCTCGCGAGCGTGTGTCAGTAGAAATCCGCGTATCCGATACCTTTTTAATTAATTTCATATTCTCTCGTCTCTCTGTCATATATTCCATGGGAAAGAGAAAGAAGCACAGCCAGTGAAAGAGGGACAGCCATCCAAAGAGGCTTCGCCAATTCAGCTGGATGAGCAACGAGCTTAAAAGCTGACTCAGTCGTCCAACCAAGCAGACAGACGTGCGTGTACATGTATATACAGATACACGGAAAGAGACACAGATATACTGTACGAATACAAAGGAAATTCGTATACAGGTGTGAACCACAGGAACACACAGAGTCAAGCAGGACACGTTTGCACGAGCGATTGTGAATTTCCACGAGACGGTTTGTCCTTTGAGCCTTACTGCGTTGGCCGGCAAAGGGAAGATGAAGGAGCTCGTAATTTTCCGAGCTCCGCGTTTCAGCTCGCGCGGCTATTTTCTGCGGTTCACGCGTATTATGCAACCGACCCGACTTGAACTGGCACGAGCTTACACGCCTGGCGTGCTTCCACTGTATTCTCTGTTTCGATTCTGTGTGTGAGTTCGCGCGGGTATGCGTGAGAGAGAGAGAGAGAGAGAGAGAGGGAGAGATCGCGCATTCAGGAACCACTGATGAACGCGTGCATATTCAACGCGCGACTCAAAGGGTGCTTTTGCATTCCGTTACATGTGCCCGGGATGTATCAAGAATTTGGTGGTAAGATGATTTGTTGAACCTAGTTTTTACGTGGCGAGGATGAGTTGCTTATCGTAGACAGTTTTTATCTGTATATTGCGTGTGTTGTATGAAACGGATTCAAATTTTCTTCATTAAAAGGAAGTTTATTCGTCATTCGCCAAAAAATCTCAAATTGTTCTATACAACATATATATGTTACATTCATAACAGATATTTGCAAGTGTTGGAGTACTTCTGCGAGTCACCGTGTGTAATCGTTAAATTATCTGGTTCTCGGACCGTCGTAGCGAAAGCTCAAACTAGCTTTTTGATTCTTGCTATGATATAGAATAGAGGAGTGGAGAACAGTTCAATTTGAAATGTGACAGGCTACGTTACAGGAACTGAAACACCGAGGAACGGAGCAATGGAGAACTATACGCGGAAATTGCTGCGGGCACGTAACAAAATTTGTCAGGAGATGAGATTTTCAGCGAAGGCAGTTATGTACGCCGTAAGAATGAATGGCCGACCGGTGGAAAACGAGTTCTCGCAGTGCTAACAATAAGAGCCCGTCCGTTTTCCTGATGAAAGGGATTTCCAAGTAAGTTCTTAAATTTCCGCCCTGCGATCTGGTTCGCGCGGAAGGACGAACGGATCTGGCCGCGAACAGATCTTGTCCTTCGAAATCCAGTTGATAATTATTCAGTGTAAAAGCTTCGGGACCTTCTGGCGAAAACAGTCGATTGGAATCGGTTCGATAAGAAATTCCTTTTCCGACCGTGTCGGAATAAATCGTCGACCAGAAGTTAGATCTTCGTGGCGTGTTTTAATAGGTTCGAGTGGCAACTGTTTAAAGTTGAAGAATATTGGATGTTCATTTAGAGAATGTAAAGCTAGCTTGATTACTTTATGAAACAAGTATCAATTAACTTATTGTTGTCTGTTTATGAGGAAATAATTAATTAAACTGGAACTAGGCTACCTGGCAAATGTAAATCTTTCGTGTTTATTAATTAGAATATATATTCTTACTGATATACCGAATTCTCAATAATTGCTAATTCTAAATTAATCGATTAATATAATATTCAATACCTCAAAAGTATCGAATAACTCCTTCACCTACAATTACGGGCATAGCTGGTAGTACGATGATCGAGCCAAACGTAAATATTACGGACATAGCTCGTACTAGATAATCGGACTAAATGTAAATATTACGGGCATAGCCCGTAGTACGATGATCGAACGTAAATCGTAGGTTAAGGCGTTAATTTCAAGTAATTGTTATTTCGTGTGGTCCTCTGCACTCTCATTACTTTTCTTTGTATTATGTGTTTTGATTTACGTCTTTGATTTTGTATTTCCTCACAGTTCATTGCAAACATTTCATATACATACGTTGTGCCTCCTACAATATTTAATTTAAGACTCTATCTGTTTCAGCATTTCATATAGACGGATCCTCATAAACGGAATGCTATTACGGAGCAATAATCGAATACGTTGTCAATAAAGCAGAAAGAACTACTTGGCCAATAGATATATTCAAAATTGTTGAGGTTGAGGCTGACTGATTGAAGAACGAGTGGATGAATTTGTAATAGAAAAATATATTGAAATAATTAAAGGTATAAGTATAATGTATAAGTTTATGCTGATTCAGATCCTTACTCTCTTAATGTTACAATACAATGGAATCGATAGGGAGCACGTTCATATATTTATAGCAAAAGGATATTACCAAAAATGTTAACCTTATAGCTTTAGCTAGAGGCTATAAGGAGCATAAATAGAAATCTGTTTATTAGTTCCTTTGTTCCTAGACTTTGCAGCCCAAAACATAATGCGTATTCAAGAGTACAATATGTACCTCTCCTTATTTAGAATATTTCTGCGTAATAGCGGTCTCCAGGTCACGGGTGTGCATAAATAAAGATTTTTTTTTATTTGGAAGTTTACAACCAATTTTCATTGAGAATTATAAGTAAATTACACTGGCGTGGTGCTATAACGTAAATAAGTGATTATCGTATGTTTGATTCTAGCTGAATCTAATATTTAAATCTAGAAGGTAATGTCTTTTTAGCCTGCGGATCTGATTTGTCGTGTCAAGTAATTGAGTAACTAGTGGCTTTTGGTGGTTGTTAATTCTTATGTTATATCTATCACTGAATTTGGATATTTCTTCTTTAACTGTGGGTATCTTAAGGTCGCGATGTATTGTTTCGTTGGTAACATACCAAGGTGCATGTATTAAGGATCTTAGAGTTTTTGATTGGAATCGTTGAAGAATTTCTATGTTGGAATTACATAAATAAAGATGTAGAGTTTTTCTTGAAGTAGTTACTTCAACAAAAATGTTTGTGATAAATGAGTCAACCTATAAAAAACGGTACTATCCGTCAAGACTAGAATCCATGATAACATTGTTGCAATTTTTATGCTGATCTGGGACGGATCGACTTTCGGCTGCTTTGCATATTACGCGAAATCTTTCTTCGCCGATAGAGCTGCCGAACCAAGGCTTACCCGAGATTGACTTTACATCGGTATTATAAGAGCAACTTTGGGAGCGTGATTGGCCTGCCTGAGGAAGGACGGAACCTTCATTGGTCCGAAGGAACACGTTATTTCCATTTTATTTTTAAGGAAGAACGTCTTTGGAACATTTGATTGTAATACTGTGACCGTAGAGCATTGAAAGTTTATAAAAGTATTATAATTCACGAAGTAATAACATTGCGCGTGCGTATAATGTACATATTTATGTAATAATCACATTCTAAGAGTGTGCGTAAAGTACATTTAATTTTACCTTATAAACTGAAACTTTCAGAGACATTTTTGTTACCGGTTCGTAACAACTGCAGTGAGAAGGAATTTTATGCAGAAAAGTTGCGAAATACAAAACTATTTACGATAAAGTTGAGAACATCAAAGGGATGATTGTAATAAATCTGAAAAGAAGAAGCAGATATGAAGTGGTACATTCAGTGAACATTCCTTAATTTTTTCCATGCGATAGAAAATAAAAAATATGGCAATAAAATTCAAAATTAAATTCTACTTCCAATTCCCTGATATTCCAGCTTGCATTCCAATAAACTCAAAGGAAAATGGAGAATATCCAGAACCTGACGCGACGAACTTCAACATGAGAATTATTAACTTACAGCCTACGCATCCTTTTCAAACAAGTTCAAATAAAGCTATTACGTTTTATTACTAACAGTTTGATACAACTAGATTGTATTTATGGAAAATCTTCATGCGTAAAAATCCACAGAATGTATATAATATACAGGAGCATACGAAATATTGAAAGCGAAGTCATTTTCAAAAGAAAACAATCGTTCAAAAGCATAAAATTTATATAATCGATTCGTATAATTCCACTATTTTTAGTATTGCTTCTAGCGGTGTAAGGAAGAAAATATTTCAGAAACATACTTTCAACCTTCGTCTTTGAGAGTTATTTTCTTAAATAAGGACAATTATTGATGTAGCATAACATAGGCACGACTAACTACTAAAAAAAATTTATATATAAAACTAAAAATAATAAAAAATATATAATCAGGTTTACGTCAGGAAACGTCGTTTCTCCTGTCACTTCAATTTCTCCTGAAATTTCAGAAATTGTAGCAAAACTATCGATGCAAAGACAACCAACCATTTCCAGAGGGACGAAAGCTTTTATTACACCTCGATGTGAGTCCCGAACGATATCCTTCATGCAAATAAACCGTGTGATTACACGTTACGACGTAAGTGGGAAACGGAAGGCTGGCTCTGGAATGGCCTCCATACTCGTGCTACTCTTTGATCCTTGGTCTATACATTAATCAACTCTGCGAGCAGAACGCGCTAGCTGACATTTGCTAATTAAATTTCAGATACTCCGAGCTGGCATAGAAAGAGACGTGTATTTATGCTTTTCGAGAAACAACTTTGAGCCACGAACGTGTCGCACAAAAACGCTTCCAGGATGTGATCGAATTTTCCTACTGTGCTTCTGTCCGTCATACCATACGACGCGCATCGCGCGTATCCGGTTGTGCAACGATCTATTTTCCTTTCTTTCTCTCTTTTCTTTTTTTACGAAAATTAAAGTTACTTCGGTAAATCGCGAAGCAATCGTTCGCGTGTTACGGTAAACAACGGCAAATTGAATTTTGTAGAAAACGTCGATATCAATATGGGATTTTCACGCTGGAACGAACGAAAATCAGAGATTTAATCTGCGAATGGACGATTGAACTTTATTTTCGAGAACGCTCTCATTTCGCCGATCAAGGAAAAGGGAGATAAATTTACGACACCAATGTACACTGTTGCTCGCAAATGTGCAGAGTACGTACACAGAGTAATGTAAGTATGTAATTACTTACATTTGGTCAAAGTGTACAAATTAATAACGAAGTGGCAATTAAAAGTAACGTACAGTACACCTTTTTACGGAGTCAGTTTTGCGATTTGCTTAACTGAAGGAAGCCTGCGAATGAAAAGGCTTCATCGAACACGACGTGACTACGTTTATGGCTGTTTTATGGTGTAAAGATGCATTTAGGAATGTGACTGGATTTTATGATGACGCTGAACGTGCATCAGCTCTACGAATAAATTTAACACGACAACATGGTCCCGCGGGATTTAGTTCAAGTTGTGAACTATGATGCTCTACTTTTATCCATTCGCTCAATAAACTTCGTGTTATCAATGCAAATCTACTAATTAACACATTTCTCACGATTTGTAAAAATTGCTTTTAATTATTTGCGAAAATTCTTGTATCTCGATCGTATCGTCAAGTACGCGTAGAGACTGACCAAAGTATTCGAACCACAGCAAGTTTTTATAAAAAATGTGTTATGTGCGTTAAACGAGATTGTTTAAAACGTGACTATCGAGATTATATTTCTGTTCCGATGCTTGGAACCAAAGTTCTCTCGACAATTTTTAAAACGCTTCTCACAATTTGTCACGTTTCCTTATTTTCAACAGCAAGAAAAAATAATTTAGAAACAATTCAGTTAAATTTAACTGTGACATCTTGCATAAGACAGAGGGAACGTAGGAATAGCAAGGAAGGACCAACGAGATTCTAATCAACGATCAGACATTTGAAATGCTTTCGAAAAGTTTCCAGTTGATCCAGTCATTGCTAAGATCAAGTAGTTGCAAGTGGAGTGCGCGATGAATTTAAGCACGGTGGCAGCTTGTTCGGATGTGAAAGTAAACGTAATTTGTCGACTCGATGTCCTCTCGAGAGGGCTGCATATACATGTGCCGCGATCGAACGCAATTGCGACTCACAGCTGCACCAGGCAGCTACGAAACCAATTACAGAACTGTGTTAATCTCTCCGATGTTTCGAGTAGTCCGTGTCAAACTTCTGACTTTAACTAATTCTCGACACTCTATTTAGGCTTTCCTATATTTAATGGTATATTAATATATAATACCTAATAATAATAATATTATCTTGATATTGGAATAAAATCGTTGATGTTATAAATTGATTTTAATATTATGACAATTACGGACAGGGTGGATATAGGTACATTCCAAGGCCCAAGAATCGAATGAAAATCTAAGTTAAAGTAGCTTACTCTACTTACGAGAAACAGCTTATTCGCTTCATCAATTTGATATCAATTTTCTCGTAAAAGAATTTTATATTTGTTCCGTATGTGGCGGAACTCGACAACAAATACCGCCACTCGACACTAACTACCACCGGACGACAGTAGTGCTAACCACTGTGATAGTTCGGGACCCGGGTTGGAATCCCGGTTCCCGTGTCCGATTTTTCTTCCATTTAAGTTAGAAGAAAAATAGCAGTACCCCAGCAGCGACATCTACAGCCAGCAGCTACAAGTATCACGGACAACACATACACCTCACGTATTTTTAATTTACAACTTTTCCTCGCAGACTTTATTGACATATCAGCGAACATCTTTTATCATGTTGTTAATACGATGAAAATCATTAATGATCCCTAAAAAACCGTCGGTTTTCAAACGATCAGACTTGCGTTTTCGTTTAGCATTACAACCTCAAAGCCGAGGAAAACGAGGAGAGTAGAGAAATTGCAAGATATTTATTTCGTTACGCACAAATCCGTCGGTTAATCGAAACGCACGATTCTTTTAATAATTGTAGTTCCCCAGTGATACAAGAGATGAAAGAAAGATAATTATAAAGGATACCGACAGGTAATTCGATCATACTCCTTTTTTTGACAGGGGAAAGCAAATTAAAAACGTGAAATAAAATTCTCTTAATCTTCCCCTCCTTTTAATAGGAAATTCGTACTTTGTGCAGCTTTATCCAATAACGTAGAAATCTATTTATTGTCGGAATAAATATTTTCCGATCAAATGGAAGTTTTAATTATTCATGAAGAAATAACACAAAGAAGAAAGTTCATTAGTAATGAATAAATAATCAGAGTTCTAGAAGCGTAGCTTGTTTACTGCTTCTTTAATGTTTGTTGGTTTAAGGAAGGAAATGTTGCAGATTTATTTTGTAACGTTATATTAACGCAACGAAAGATACGAACGCTTTTCACATGATATGAATTTCATTCATTTGGTTTTCATTTCATATGTGCGGCTCTTTCTTTC